CACTTTTGAGAGATTGCGTTTTCGAAAGAAGTATGATAAAATGGATTTCTTATCCCCTTACCCCAAGTTTTCCTTACTGGTAGTCGTTAAAGAGGATGAAATACTGTTGTCTTTGAAATGGCATTTACTCCAAAACCTGGTCAATCGACTTTTGCTTGTAGATGTGTAGGCTTTTCACGAAATAAAATCTAATGTTAGGCCCCAAACAGAGTCTAAGGGTTAACAAGGAATGGCTTAGTTTAAGGTGAGTCAATTTGCACCTGGTACATAATTATTATAATTTATATCAATTTCTTTTACTTAAAATGAATTGCCAAGGAATGATGTCTAAAGAAGAGTTGGCAACTGACGCGTGTGACATTGCTGTTCTTGGAGCCAGTTGCTATTTCTGCGCAGTGTTCCGAAAATACCCCCGACGTCGTGTGGGAACAGAAGCATAGCGACGACAACATAGGACGAGATGCAGAAAGGCCGAATATCATCACTTGTGTTTTTGACACTGGCATGGGTGAGAGACAAATAGTACTGCAAGTAACGATGGCAATTTATTAGATGGGATCACCATTGGAATGTGCATTTATATGGCACTGACAAAGATAATAATGCCAAGTTTAAATTGATACAAAACGCTAAGAAGCAAGTAATAGAAACGTCGGAAATCGCAAGGCAACAGAGATGTAAAAAAGGGGAAAGATTTTATGACATTAGAGACAAAGATGCGGCGGCGATGGTGTAACGGTTAGCGTACTGGACTGTTGTACCCAAGTTGGCGGGTTCAAAACCGATCGAAGCCGTGGATTTTTAAGGGCGAAAAAATCCTTCGTACGCCTTCCTTCGGAGGGGAAGTAAAGCCGGCTGTCCCATGTTCGTAGATTTACTTGCATGTAAAAGATCCTCAAGCCTAAATGACGCCTCTGAGCTAAATTCAAATCGCCTGTTTCTCGCCCAAGAAATACCTCCTTTCTCTCCTAGTTGGTGAAAAGAGCGTAGCGAAATTTGCGTGGTCAGACGGAAGAGCGGGCCTGATGGCCCGAGTCTCGCCACGTAAAATAAGGCAAATTCAATTCAATTCAAAGATGCGGTGACGGATTTTTAAATATTGTTTGTGATCGATGACTGATGAAACAAAAGGACTGATTTTGCTTGCGTACAAATTTTCATATTGAATCTTATTATTGAATTTTTGACGTTACTAAGACGTTTCGAAAGTTGTGATATAACTAGTACATATACAAGTACTTCAATGTGATTGTGATGGAGTGAAATTTCTGGGATCTGGATCTTTAGTTGTTTGCAGAACTCTGACACAGACAGGAGGTAGCGAATGGTCGGTTCAATTTTCGGTCGGATCATGTGGAATTGGTAGTGTACAAAGCCAGTTCTCGATAGATTTTCTCAGGGTTCTCCCGTTTCCTCTACCTCTCGTTTCATCATTGCTTCATTAGTCGCAGATCCATCAAACATTCGTCCACTCTTGATTCGGCCACAAGACGTAGGCATTGGCATCAAAATGAAGTTGCTTAGCCGAACCTCACAAAAACGTGTGTTCGGTGCATAGTCATTTCATAACGCCATGTATCTCTTCTCCAGCTGACGTTCATAATCCTTCCCCCATTACCCGGTTGGCATAAGCGCTCAGATAATACTGAGAGTATACTTTGCCTTAATTAAATATATACTCACCACGGTGGTACTTTTTCGGCACGGCACATGTGGAAATTGAGTCAATTAGCGGTGTGTTGCATGTATTGGTGCCCCACGGTACCACCACATACTTGGGTTGGGGAGAGGGCCATGAAAAAGTGGAAGACTAGTGAAGAAGAATATTGGAAACATAGAAAAGTGGAACACTACAACATAGAAAGATAAAACTTAAGTGTAATAGAGAAATGTTGGTATTTGAAGTAATTTTGATTCGCTTACCTACTTGCGTTAGCGTCTCTGTGGGCGGCTGCGGCAACAGAGGTGAGTGATGGACGGGGCAGGGCCGGCGACGGTAGCACTTGTTTGCGAAGCCGCCCCTGCCGAGCTCGGCCCGCGCTGTTGTCTCAGCTCCCTCTCCCCGCCCGCTTCCTCGTCCATGCTTCGCCGCGCCGCTCCGTGCATATACTGTAGCGGGCTAGCTCCGGGAATAACCGAGCGGCTTGTTGATATTGGAGAGAAACTATCCATAATAGTTCTAGTCACGTTGGATCTTGTTGTAGATAGACGTTTCGAGTTGAATGAATTTAATCAATGAAGATCAAATATTGGGTCGTTAGTTCTATAGTGAAGTCTGGCGTTTGATTGTTTTGTAGCGCGTTGATAGATCAATTATTAGTCAATGTAAATCAACATAAATTCTGTGTATTTGAGCGCATTGCTCCATTTGAGCAGTTTTAATTCCTAGGAGGGTGAAACCTTACGTGTGAAGTATTTCTATTAAAAAAAACTTCAAAATTTTATAAGAATATTTTTCACTAATAAAACTTTCTTCATTTCCTTAGAAATTTTCAAAATGACTCTAATCTCTCTTACCTTCGCTATAGAATTTTCTGGAGAATTTTCAGATAACGTGCAGTGGCTAGAGCGTACACTAATCCACCAAATCAGAGGAAACAAAGTTATATATTTCAAGCCCTTGGGCAGAGAAACACGCGTTTAGTACAACAAAAGTCAGCAAAGTCTCTTTTTGTTAAATTGAATTAAATTGCTCAAATTGGTGACAATTACTCAGTGGTGGTGACTAAAATGAATTTTGAAAATTATCATTTTTTTACGTCTGAGTAATCTCGGTGTTTACTTTTATTTTTCAAATTAAGCTATAAATCATGCGGTAATTTATACCATTTACAACCAGAACAATGCAGTGGAATTGTGCTGGCGTTGTGCTCTACCGTGGCTAACGCCTGGCGTTCCGAGCGCATGCAATACGTCGAACACTAGCGGCGTGCGGGCTGCATCCTTCAGGCGCTCGCCTCTCTCCGCTTTGACTGCGGCTCTTGGTGTGATGCAAACGCGTTTAACGGCTTCCTCCGCCGCGCGGGGCCATTAATTTACTTCCGGCTGCCTATACATAGCTCACAATGGCACCGTACCGTGCTGTGATGCGGCCGCGTGTGCACCTCGCTCGGAGCGCCGTTAATGATCCCCGTCGCCCGCGCAGCGCCCAGAGAGCCTGCGCTCGACATCCCCATTTCCGCTCGCTGATGTGCTTTCTTCACCGCAGGCAGCCCCGTAAAGTTCGTTTACGAAGACAGTAAAGTCGCTTGCGTGCATTAAAAAAGTTTGCAGACATGTGGGTTTACAATTATGTTACTTTCATCTCCGTTTTAAAATGATCGTTGTAGCATTAAACGTTGGGTAGTGAAAGTTCTTAATAATCTTTTGTGGCTGCTGTAGTTTGTTATTCACATGTTCAACGTGAGTTCATATAGTCTGCAATTGCTAAAATTTAACTTGATATTTTTTATTAACAGAACATATTTACCACTATACAATAACTAAATTAAACCCGGAAAATCTTCAATCTCTTTATTTTTTCCCCTTTTAATGAATAATTCAATGATACCTTATATCAAATCGTATCTATTATAAAAAAATACGAAATGTCCCAAATCACGAAAGCTCTTCCTTTACAAACAACCGCAAGTACGTTAAAAAATTTCGTCTCTCCTAATCCCTAAGGCCCGAACAATTGAATGTAACTAATGTTAATTACGTATTTAGCGGCAGAAACATAGTATGTATATTCCCTTGACACTACAAAATAAACCTAACATTGATAAATATTAATAATAATACTAAATAATATAAGATGTAATGAATTATTATTTAATGAGTCAAATGTAAGCAGACAACTTTATTAATATATCATGTTCATCTCAGTTCATTTTGTTTATAATGAAAAAAAATGGCTTTATTCAATTTGATTGATAGGATGCAAATGAATTGAAATTAATATGATCATTAAAATTATCTATTATACTTGGCCTGTTAACATTTATGTAACCGATATACACGCAATTTAACAACAAATAATAATTAAATAATAATATGCCTGCGGATCGGGCCTCTTTCCTTACGGGATGGCGGATTGGGTGGAGCTGGCGCTGACCGGGTCGTTGGCCGGCAGGGCCGCGCTGCTGACGAAAGCGCTCTTGGCCAACGCGCTGAGTGCTGCGGAAGGGATGGGGGCGGAGGTGCGCCCACCCAGGACCGCCCCACCTCACCTCCATTTGCGTTAGCCCCCTGGCGAAACGCGTACATCCTTACGGGCGTACGAGGGGGTTCGATCCTCGAGGAATGGTCGTCGTATGCCGGATTGAGCTCTTAATCTAAGACTGTATCCGTGGTAATGACTTTGTATTCTTCTCTTAACAATGTTTGCTCCTAAGCAATGCAGTCCGTTGCTGCGGATGCACGTCCCTGTAAGGCATTACGTATTTTGCAAATTCTAAAACTGTATGTGCATTCTAGTATTGAGCGATGTAGTAAAGAAATTGTCATATATTATTTGTTCAGTGTCCAGAAATATAGTTTGAAAATGCGTAACATCGACAGAATATCAAACACGTTTCAATTTGTATCTAATAGGATAATTAAAAGTAAGTTCTAGTTGGAAACGATGTCATCCTTTTATTTCGTAGATATTTAATTACTAATGTATAAGCTACTCAAAGAATTGATCGTAGCTTGTTACCTCAAGTGGTAGAGCAACTGGGCGTGTATCGGGAGATCCGGGTACGATTCGATGCCTTGAAAGACAGTTCCTTTAACAACCTAAACATATTTTAATCAATTAATAGTAACTAAGAAGTCGTTATAGAACACTTGTAATTGCGATGCAGCAAAGTTGTTCCGTACGTACGTATACAAGCTAACCACGCCGACACGGTGCGTTCAAATACAAAATCTTGTATTGCGACATTGCCTGATAAGTGTTTGTAATTGTGTTTTGTAACGCATTCCTAGTTCTGTGCTCGGTGTGCGCTAACGTGAGCTTGCCGTGTGTGCCGCAGGAGGGCGCGAGCCGACGATGATGGCGCCCGTCTACCACCCGCAGCCGTCGTCGACGCCGACGGCCGCGCAGCCCGCGCCGGCGCCCACCTTCGTGCTGCAGGACTGCGACGCCGACTCCGCCATCGGCGACAGCGCCTCCCCGGACCTGCAGGCCAAGAGGTGAGTGGCGCGCCCTCCCCAGCGTCCCCGTCGACCAAACCTTCCCCCGCGTCTCCACCGTCCGTCCGTCCCCATCTTTACCGGTCCCCCGCCGTCCCCATCTTTACCA